GCGATGATGCATATTTTGAATTTTATCTCCGTGGAGAGTAGGAAGGACAAGTTGGTATAGCCATTCTTCAGTTTGTATTCGAGGGCGACACTATATATAATTCGGAGAAAATGCAGGGGCTTTGTCTGTGGGAGCCCATCTATCAAACTTCCCGGACTTTAGTTCAGGCTCTCGCAACTTCTCCTCTTTCTCCCCCCTTATTTTTCCCTCTCTCTTTATTACTGCGTCGCGCGTGATAGTTACTCGGCGGCCATCTGGACCTGGTTAGCGGGCTGAAAAGGGCTAGAAAGGGGTAAATAGAGGTAGAAAAACGCGATTTTTCCTAATTTTTCCTTATTTTCTCTTATTTTTCCTTATTTTCCTTAATTTTAATCGTGATGTGGGGTAGAAAGCGGGCGGAGCTTGTTTGGAGGAGTTTCAGCTGTATAAAAGCACTGGAAATGAGCTTAATATAGAGTTTTTCAAATTTTCGCTTAGTTTTTCGTTCATTTTTCCGATTTTTGGGGTTTTGCAGCCTCTAAAATATCGATTTTATCAATTTTTTCGATTTTTGGGGTGGGGAAAAGGGTGCGGGAGACATGGTTTTGTCGATTTTTGGAATCTTGCAACTTTCAAAATATTATTATCAATTTTGTCTATTTTTGGGACGTCGATTTTTGTCGATTTTCGGGATTTCACAGCCTCAGAATATCGATTTTATCAATTTTCGAGGATTTGGTGATTCATTAATCTCCAAAATATCGATTTTTCGCTTTTTAGCTGTGAACTGTAAGTCCCGCCCACTTATGATGTTACTATACAATACCGCTCACAGAATGTGCAAAATTTCCGTGAAAGTCGCGAAATTCCGGAGTTTCGCGACATTCACGGAAATTTTGCAAGTTATGTGGGTGGTTTTGTATTTGCATCATTCAAAAAAGCGAGGAAACCGTTGCGATGGAGTAATGAGTTATCAGTTATTCCTAATATTTGAAGAGGTACCCCGTGATTAAAATTCCGCGTTCGATTATTGAAGAACCTTGGCATAATCTTATATATAAAGCTGAATGTCTGTTTGTCTGTATGTATGTATGTATGTATGTATGTATGTATGTATGTATGTATGTGTGTACGTATGTTCCGAATAGAAAATTCCATTTCTGAACCGATCCGGACCAAACTTGGCACGCATACACTTCGGGCCCCGGTGGGTGTCATAGGCTACTTTTCGTCATCGATCGATATCGATTTTATCGATTTTTATCGATTTTTTGCAGAGTTCACCTACGGGGCTGGGAGTTGGCACAGGGGGGTAATCGAGCATGGGGATTCCGAATACAATATTGGTTTTCAAGATCGTCCATCACTTTTATCGATTTTATCGATTTTTTGTAAATTTTGACATGCGAGGCTGGGATTTTGCACAGGGGGGGGGGGTAATCGAGCATGCAGATTACGAATACAATATTAGTTTTCAAGATCGTCCATCACTTTTATCGATTTTATCGATTTTTTGTAAATCTTGACATGCGAAGCTGGGATTTTGCACAGGGGGGGGGGGTAATCGAGCATGCAGATTACGAACACAATATTAGTTTTCAAGATCGTCCATTACTTTTATCGATTTTATCGAATTTTTTGCAAAGTTTGAGCTAAGGGGCTGGGAGTTGGCACAGGGGGGTAATCGAGCATGCTGATCATCTCCATCAAGCATGCTGATCATCCCCCCTGTGCAAACTCCCAGCCCCGCAGGTCAAACTTTACAAAAAAATCGATAAAATCGATAAAAGTAATGGACGATCCTGAAAACTAATATTGTATTCGGAATCCCCATGCTCGATTACCCCCCTGTGCCAACTCCAGCCCCCTAGCTCAAACTTTGCAAAAAAATCGATAAAATCGATAAAAGTAATCGATAATCCTGAAAACTAATATTGTATTCGGAATCCCTATGCTCACTTCTCCCTGTGCCAACTCCTAGCCCTGTAGGTGAACTCTGCAAAAAAATCGATAAAAATCGGTAAAATCGACATCGATCGATAACGAAAAGTGGACTGTGACACCCGCCGGGGCCCGAAATGTATATGTGCCAAGTTTGGTCCGGATACGGCGGAGCCGGGTAAGCCAGCTAGTGTGGTATAAGCATTAGCATTTGTATATGTTTTTTTTAGTCGATAAGCATGATTGGTAACACGCTTTATCCAGTCAGGCTAACATTTCTTTTGGTGCCGTTATTACTAGTCGTGCAAACATGGTGTATGGTTGTGATTCAACTCCCATTCAAAGACTGCCGCGGAGGTGACTGCACCAAAACGTTCTAAAAGCTATTCCAAAACGAAGGCGGCCGTCTATGCATGCGAGGCTTGCGCGGGCGTACGAACACTAATGATGAGAGATGCTCGAACACGCGGGTCGCAGCCACGTCGCACATTGAACCGATCGCTTTCGCGATGAAAAAGCTTTTAACTGAATAATTATCAGTCTTGGTTATTGGCAGGGTCAGGCGTGGGGTGTGGCACGCCACACCCGGTGGATTTTGTTGAGGGGTCAGACAGGGTAGGGTTCATAATTGAAGTGACTAGCAACAAGATTCGTTAACAGTCAGCTGCAAATTATGCAAAGTACAAGCACACGGAGATATTCAACCTATTATCGTACTAGTGAACCAGTAACTAAAGGTGCCAAATTGCATCTGCGCACTTCGGGACCGCACTGCGGTTCGCCGCTATTGGAGGATTTTTGAATTGAGTTAACGATTCTTTATATATTAGATATGTATGGTAAGCAGGATAGAGAAATTTTGGGTGCGGAAATTTATCTACCTAGAGAGGCATGCCGCCATGTAATTAGCAGGGGACATGAGAGGTCATAAACTGTTAGCAGCGCTAATTTGCACCCAGTTTGCATCGAACACAAGCAGATTTTGCTCACGACAGATACGACATCATCCTAAAATGTACGAAACCGGGTTTTCATTGAAATTTGAATTCATAGATCGGTAGTGAAATTAGTCTAACTAGGATAAAAATTTGTATTTAGGGATAATCTCCCATGCTGGTTCCAAATATGATGGCGGTTTTGCGTGAAAACTCAATTTTCTTTTGAATTTCAATCTTTTCAAAATCCGGCAAAAAGCTTAATATTGTCATTTGAGGGTTTTTTATGATGCTGTTTTCGAATATGCTAATGTTTTCACCGGACACTTCGAAAACTTTTTCTCAATTTTGACTTTTTCATGAATTTCACTGCAACTTTGATAAAACTGGAGAACAAATGGAAAAGAATACTACTTTCAGAAAGACTAGAAAAAAAATGATATAAATTGCGAGATAAAATTTGAAATAAGGTAAAAAAAATTCAATGAATCTAAAACTATGTTTGAAAAATTGGTAAAGATTCCCAGCTATCATTAAAATCTGTGTGTTATTAATTTTAAACACTACAATGAGTTTCTTTAAAGAGCAGCTACTGAATTATCCCTTAATTTTTGAAAAATGATAAAACATTTGCCTTTATCAGCATGTTAGGCATGGCTGTAATGCGCGTGGGTTGAGTATATCCGTCGAAGGCAGATACTATGATGTGCGAACACAGAGCCGACGAGTACGCCCAGAGCAATGAAATTACCAAAAATTGCTGAAAATTTTGCATTCGGTGCTTCAGAAACTTAATTTGGAAAGAGGATTTGAGGATAAGTTTTTATTTGATTTGCCAAATATCGCCACTGAACATTCATTTTCATCCCATCACGAAGCTCGGTTTCATTTTCATGCAAAACCACCATCATATTGGAACCAGCATGGTTGATTACCCCTAAATACAAATTTTTACCATAGTTGGACTAATTTCACTACTGAACTTTGAATTCAAATTTCAGTGAAATCCTGGTTTAGTACACTGTACAATAATGTCTTACTGTGTGAGCAAAATCCGCTTGTCTTCCATGCAAACTGGGTGCAAGATAGCGTTGTTGACAGTTCATGACCTCTCATGTTTCCTTACATGGCGGCATACCTCTCTAGGTAGATAAATTCCGTTTCCCAGAAATCTTATTAAACGTAGTGAGTATTAGCATGTCAAGTAGCTGTGGACAAGTTCAATTCCATCTAAATCGCCGCCAAACTATGGAACTACAAGCCAGCCAAGATTTCGTGTGTTTTACATTTGCTTTCAGTGGTTGTGCTTGCAGCAAATATTACTCAGAATTAAATCACCAGTGAAAACTTAGGGATTCGTGCTACCGATTTTTATACTTCTGCCACCTTCCCATGCAATGTACGTAGTAGCGCGGCTGAATACTACCGTAACCCGAAATTGACCACGGTGGCGGACACGTCAAACACACATTTGCAAAACTCTCTATATCTTTTTTAGAAATGGCGAACTAAATGCAGTCTTTAATGTGAAAGGAAGAAGGTTTAATGGGTGGTCTCAACGACTTACTTTCAAAAAATATCGATGGACGAATGCTTTGAAGGCACGCAAATTCGTCTTCTTTACTCTGAGTAGTAGTTGCTAAAAGCAGAACCACGGAAAGGGGAAAATGCGCTGAACAAGATTTTGGCTTCCTTTTAGTCCCATCATTCGGAGGTTATTTGGAGTTTAGTTTTCAGCGTAAACTAAATTAGTGCATGAGTAAGTGCAAAAATGGGGTAGTAAACTTGTTTTTGAAACGAAGTTAAGCATGTTTGAAAATGACGACTTTGTTAGGTGAAGCAGTATTTGAAAACTTCAGAAATCGCTAAAACTTGGTTCACGGGGTTACTTCATATGCTAATCACGAAATGACACTCATTTTGCTTGATAAGACCTCTTCGACATGCTCAAGGTAGATTAACGGTAATTCACTGGTGTCTAACTGAAACCTAATAAAGGAATGGGACTTATCCGATGATGTGGCACACCTCTCACTCAACTCTGGTTATCACAAAAATGTTTTCATTGTTTGAGCAAGGAGTGTAATGAAGTGTTTAACAAAACTGTTGCTACTACTGTTCAATTTATGCCTTCTTATATTTCAGAATCAAGCGAATACTACCGCTATACTATATGACTTGCCTCGTGACCCTAATATTTGTGGTAGTAAAGTTGCCTACCTTCCGATCCTTGAATTTCGCAAGCTCGCGCAGAGCAGTGTCATTTACTGGAAACCTAAAAATTTCGAAGGACGACTCCGCAAAGGATTATGAGAAAATGGTACGGTGACATCTTTTTTATTGATTGCCTACTAGAAGTTATTCAATCAGTTTTAGTTGTCGGATGCAATGGATTTATTTACTCATACATGGTCATTATGCGTTGAAATGCAGTGGTATCTGCTTGTACCCCTACTCTTTTGCTTGCAAAGCTTGCTGCTTTCTCGGAAAACATTATTTTACTTAGGTTGGTTATTTGAAAAAACTTCTGCACCTAAAATTCCTTTGAGGAATTGCTCTCGCTTCCATGGTATTTTACTTTTCTGTCGACAAAGACATTGCTTTCTACAACGTTTTCGCACGAGTGTGGCAGTTTTGCGCGGGAATTATGGCCTTTATATGGCAACATGACAGTGTAAGTTGTAGTCAGTGACGATTTGGGAATGAGAGCACATATGACAGACTCAACTTCATAAAAGTTGCTTAAAATGTTAATTAGAGAGCCCATTGTACTCTCGCCATTTCTAATGAATAAAAGAACATAAGGAAGCTGCTTGGAAATTTGGCAAAAATCAGAAGAAGTGGATGTTCATTCGTCCAGTCTTAACTGTTCATAGAAAACCTTACGCGACTAGAACATTAGAATGAAACTTCAAGATTGTCCACTTATATTCAAAAACTAGCTGGCACACCCGGCTTCGCTCGGCTCAAATGTTTAAGCAGATTTTTATTTTGTCTTTGAGAAAATACGAGACAGTCCATAAAATTAATCTCCATAGAAATGCTACAATATCGTATTAACTAACATTACTGTATACTATTGAACTAATTTATTAAGTGTCATTATTGTGCGTCAGAAACTTGATTCGGAGAACAGTTGTACCAATAATAGCAAAACTCAAAAAATATATCAAGTTCTTTCACACTTAGAGAAATTGGATAAGGGGCATGCCTGCTTAGCTAATTTTAATAATCATTGAATTTATTTTCGACTTGCACGACACTTGCTCTTTTCGAAGGCATTTTGGCAATTCATGGTAGAAAACTGTTTTTATTTTGAAAAGCTCTCACATGTAGTGGCCGTCTCTCTCAACATCAAAAAATAGTTCATTTTTGAAATACGGCTTAATGAAGGTACTTCGAGAAAACTCAGTCTATTCCTTCACTTCCTTCAAATGATTGAATGCGACCGGTCATTGTACTGTTAAATATGGCGCAAGGAGAACTGCAGGTTTGAGCAAACTCATTTATACTTGGTTAAAGCACATTTCGACAAAGTTTGCCAATATTTGGACATATTTACTACGTCGCCGCCATTTAGAGGCACTGACATTTGTTTCCTTTCCTTCAGTTCCCTTACAATTCCGATCAATTTCTACTGGTTCTTAGTAGACAACAAAGACCCACGGCGGATCGCAAAGTTGGAGTTAAAAGTCATTATAGAAGATTGATGACCGAAATTGGGTTTTACCTTTTCTGCTGTGACAAATAGAAGCTACACTAACGTAGATCAGATAATTTTGCTCCTATCAGAGTCAGACGCGAAACTCATCTATTTAGTCTCTTGACCGAGCTTCTTCGGCAGGGAGCCACAATACCTATGTTATTATTTGTGCACACGCGTTGTTAGCTTGATCAGCATTCATTTTCGCTGCAAACGGTTAAAAATTATTTACTCAATAGAATAGCCCAGCGAATTTGAGCGTCCAACAGTGAACCGAAAAGGGAGCTTCTATTACATTTGGGACTCTTTATATATAAAGAAGGGAGGCACTAAACCGAATACAAGGTACACAAAGTCTACGAGTTGATGCTTAGAAGGTCATGCCGCCGATTCGCTACACTCTTGGCGCACAGGTACCATTCACTCTTGAGTGATTAGATACTCACAAGTGAGTAGCTCAAAACTTAGCCTACGGAGATTTCGTAGGCTAAATTTTGAGTCTAAATTTTTACTATATATTTATATGTATATATTAGGTTGAACCGAAAGTTCTTTCCCCCCATTTTCAAAAATTCATAACTTCCAATTATTTCAACCAATTTGGCTGCATCAATTTTTGTATGAAAGAGTAACTCATGCTCTTCATAACGACACCTTAGCTGCTTGCTAGTGATCATTTGTTGCATAGATAGGAGCGATAGAAGAAAATTAGTCAAAATCTGAATTTTCTGTGTAGGGTCATAAAAAATCGGAAACTTGCAAGAAAAATCGGAGCAGTCAGTACTGTAGGTTTTTTTATCAGCTTCTTCTAATGGTGCAAAGTTTGCGCCGATTGAGCGTCTCTGTGAAAAGTTATGATTTTCGAGCAAGCAATACAAAAGGGCGAATTTGATTTATTTTGGCATTTTTCAGGAAAATCGTAACTTTTCATAGAGGCGTTCAATCGGCGCATACTTTGCACTGTTGGAAAGAGCTTGTGAAAGAGCCTACAATACTGACTGCTCCGATTTTTGTTGCAAGTTTCCGATTTTTTATGACCCTACACGAAAAATTCAAATTTTGAGTGATTTTGGTTTTGAGCTTCTATCTCCTTCATTTGTATACATTAACGAACAGTTCAAGTACATTTACAAAGAGAATGAGTTCCTCTCTTACATAAGATTTAGATCTTGCAGATTCGTTGAGAATTCAACAAGTTATGAATTTTTGAAAATAGGGGGAATGAACTTTCGGTTCAACCTAGTATATATATATATATATATATTGTCGATGATACAGAAATCATCAACAATATATATAGTGTGCCGAAAAAGTACTGTCCCTCTAACTTAGCACCTGAAATACCCCAAACATAAAGTAAATCTGCAGTTTTTTGATTCCCACACGTAGGCGAGATCCTTAAGATTAGATAAGAATAAATTGGAGTTAAAACTGTTCCCTTCTGTCCCTTTGAAGGGTGATAACAGAGCGCAAGAACATTAGCGATGCGCCGATAGCATACAAAACGCGATTTTGGACCGTAACTATACTACCAGCATTGATATAAGGTTCAAATTAAGCTGTTATGTGTAGTGCATGCCCTTCTCCAATATTCTATACCCATTATAGATGAATTATAGATTAGTGACTCTTGTTTTGGCCAGATAAGGAAGATTATACCACACGCTCGCAAAAATTCTCAAAAAGAGGCGAGTCAGGACTGGGCTTGCTTAATGAATTGGACTCAAACTGTGATTCGAAAATTCCAGATTCCAACAAAAAATAGCAGGAATAATGAAAAGAGCGTCGAACTTTGTCTACGTCACAATTTTGGAGCGAAACGGTTATACCTAGTCTCTGTGCCACGTTTTCCAATCGCACTCTGTTGCGCCGCAGCCACTTCGTCGTTAGAAAAATTCGCAGCATTTTTCCTAGTGCTGACTGAATGCTTTCCGAATTTTTTGGGATCCATTACCACATTCTTTAAGCAGTAGAGGATTTTTCAAGTTCGCGTGACAAGCAAAAAATATTTCGAAAAACCTCACACTTCTTCAGACTTGTAAGGGGAGGGGTGCAAGATTTGATATGAGATGCGCTACGAAAAGAGATCCGCCGCCGGGTAAAATTGTAGAATTTTGAAGCTAGTTTTGTAAAATGATAGAATATACAGAGTGTCCCAAAAAGATGTGCACACTGTTTGATCGTTAACAACTCTCTTGCTTTCATGTCTTTTGCCGAGCTTGAAGTATCATTTTGTAGAGCGAGGATAAACTTAGATTTACAGTATCAACACTGTAGGATTACGATATGAACTTTCAGCATACAGCATCACTGCGGGATAAGCCTTTTGATGGAATAATTTCAAAAAAATCTAAAAAATTGTGTAGCAAGGTTTTCAGGCGTTCTGATTTCACTACATGACTTTCCATCAGTTTTTCGAGCTTTCTTGATTGCGTATTCACATTTCTGCTGAACACTGGAAAATCGTTGTTACCCTAAATCTGAATTAACTCATGAAAGAAACATTGTACTGACGTGCAGTTTTCACATTTAGAATCAGCGACTACGATTAATCCAGTTCATGAGTTTCTGGCTTATTTGGCTTTTTTCTGAGGCAAAATACAGCTTTCCATTGCTGAAAATCCTCCTCGAAATTCCTACCGTAATTCTACAGTAATGAAAAGCGGCTGGTAAGTCCCTCCATACTGTAAATCTAAGTTTATCCTTGCTCTACAGAATGGTACCTCAAGCTCGGCAAAAGACATGAAAGCAAGAAAGTTATTAACAATCAAACAGTGTGCACATCTTTTTGGGTTCTGTAGTCCCATCTCGAGAATTATGTCAAACTCATCAAAAAAAAAGTTTTTCCTGTGAATTACGCCAATTTTTCGAACTTTATTTTGAGGGACAGTACTTTTTCCGTACCCTGTATATACAGAATGTCTTAAGAGATGTGCACACTGTTTGATCGTCAATAACTCTCTTGTTTTCATGTCTTTTGCAGAGCTTGAAGTACCATTTTGTAGAGCGAGAATAGACTTACATTTATAGCATGGAGCGAATCACCAATCACACTTCATTAGCGTAGGATTATGGTATCAACTTTCAGCATGCAGCGTCACTGTGGAGTAGGCCTTTTGATAAAATAATTTCAAAAAAAAATCTGAAAATTTGTGTAGCAAGGTTCGGGCGTGCTTATATCACTACATAACTTTCCACCAGTTCTTCTAGCTTTCTTGATGGCGTATTCACATTTCTGACAAACATTGGAAATTAGTTGTTACCCTACATTTGAAATAACTCATGAAAGAAACACAGTCCTGACGTGCAGTCTTCATATTTGAAATCAGCGACTTCGATTAGCCCAGTTCAAGAGTCTCTGGATTGTTTGGCTTTCCTTCTGAGGCAAAATACCGCTTTAAATGGCTCAAAATCCCCCTCAAAATTCCTACCGTAATCCTACAGTAGTGAAGAGCGGCTGATAATTCGCTCCATGTTGTGAATCTAAGTTGGACCTCGTCCTAAAGAATGGTACCTCAAACTCGGCAAAAGACACAAAAGCAAGAGAGTTATTAACGATCAAACAGTGTGCACATCTTTTTGGGACACCCTGTATATATTAGGTTGGTCCGAAAGTTCTGTCCCACCATTTTCAAAAAATCGTAACTTCTTCCTATCATTGAAAACAGCAACTCATGCACTTTCTAAAACTATCTTGGCTGCTCTCTACTAAGCTCTGAAAGCAGAGATAAAATTGGGAAAACGAAATCACTTCGAGTTCGGAATTTTCAAGCAAGCCCGTAAAAAAATCTGTGCCATAAAATCCAAAACAGCCAGTATCCTAGACTATTTTACCCCCTCTTTCTGGCCGAGCAAAGTTCGCGCTGATCTAGCTGTTTTCCGAGAAGTTATGATTTTTTGAAAAAAATGTCAAAAAATCAATTTTCTTAAGAAACTGATTTTTTGGCATTTTTTCTTGAAAATTATAACTT